GGGAGCCGTTTTGGGGGCCTTTCTGGGCCAACGGGGGACCCTCTTGGGGCGCTCCAGGGCCGTCTTGGAGGCCATCTTGGGCGTCTTGGAGGCCATCTTGGGCGTGTTGGAGGCCTCTTGGGCCGTCTTGGGGCCCTCTAGGGGCCATCTTGGAGGCCACTTGGGCCATCAGGGGGCTCTCTTGGGGGCCTCTTGGGCGATCTTGGGGGCTTCTTGGGCCGTCTTGAGCCGTCGGAGAGCCGAAAAGGCGCAAATGCCAAAATCCTTCAAAAACCAAGGGAAAATCAATGATTTTGGCCTCTTCGGACTCTCCTGGAGGACCTCTTGGAGGCCTCTTGGGCCGTCTGGGAGGCCTCTGGGGGGCCTCTTGGGCCGTCTTGGGCCGTCTTGGACTCTCTTGGGCCGTTTTGGAGGCCGTCTTGGACCATCTCGGGCGGACTTGGAGGCCATCTTGGGCCATCTTCGCGATTTTTTGAGGATGTCCCGAGCGAAACGGCCGTTTTTGGAGGATTTTTTCCGGTCGTTGAGCACGTTTGGGGGCCTTCCGGGTGGCCGGCGGGTTCTGCCGGAGCCCACTGGGGAGTTCTTTTGGGAAAAAGAACCAAAACCAAAACCTGAAACGTCCAGCACGCCGTGCACCCCTGCAAGCAGGGGGCGGCGGATCGAAGACGCCTACGGCGAATCACCGCCGCCCCCTGCCTTTTTGGAAGCGCCTATGTGGCCGAACGTTGAGGCCAGACCTGCCAAGCTATCGGACCATGTGTTCCCCGAATCGGTTTGGAAAGCCTTCGGGGAACACGTGGGCATCTTGAAGGTCATCTTGGCCGTCTTGGAGGCCTCTTGGGCAAGCTTTGGGCGATCTTTGGGGCTTTTTGGGCCGTCTCGGGCCAGCTTCGAGCCAACTTCGGCCATCTTGGTGGGTTCCTGGCACGTCTGAAGCCGTCGGAAGCCGTTTGGGGGGCCTCTATGGGCCGACTTGGGGCCCGCTTGGAATGCTCCAGGGCCGTCTTGGAGGCCATCTTGGGCGTCTGGGAGGCCATCTTGGGCGTGTTGGAGGCTTCTTGGGCCCTCTTGGGGCCCGGGCTCTTGGGCCGTCTCGGGCCGTCGGAAGGCCGAAAAAAGGGAAATGCCCAAATCCATCAAAAACCTTGGAAAAATCAGTGATTTTGGCATCTTTTGGCCTTCCTGGAGGCCCTCTTGGGGTGGGGGCCTCTTGGGCCCTTTTGGGCCAGCTTCGAGCCAACTTCGGCCATCTTGGTGGGTTCCTGGCACGTCTGACGCCGTCGGGAGCCGTTTTGGGGGCCTTTCTGGGCCAACGGGGGACCCTCTTGGGGCGCTCCAGGGCCGTCTTGGAGGCCATCTTGGGCGTGTTGGAGGCCTCTTGGGCCTCTTGGGGCCCTCTAGGGGCCATCTTGGAGGCCACTTGGGCCATCATGGGGCTCTCTTGGGGGCCTCTTGGGCGATCTTGGGGGCTTCTTGGGCCGTCTCGAGCCGTCGGAGAGCCGAAAAGGCGCAAATGCCAGAATCCTTCAAAAACCAAGGAAAAATCAATGATTTTGGCCTCTTCGGACTCTCCTGGAGGACCTCTTGGAGGCCTCTTGGGCCGTCTGGGAGGCCTCTGGGGGGCCTCTTGGGCCGTCTTGGGCCGTCTTGGACTCTCTTGGGCCGTTTTGGAGGCCGTCTTGGACCATCTCGGGCGGACTTGGAGGCCATCTTGGGCCATCTTCGCGATTTTTTGAGGATGTCCCGAGCGAAACGGCCGTTTTTTGGAGGATTTTTTCCGGTCGTTGAGCACGTTTGGGGATTTTCCTGGTGGCCGGCGGGTTCTGCCGGAGCCCACTGGGGAGTTCTTTTGGAAAAAAAACCAAAACCAAAACCTAACAGCTCATCCAGCACGCCGTGCACCCCTGCAAGCTCCTTGGGAAGACTCACGGGGCTCTCTTGGGGCGCCTCAAAGGCTTCTTGTGCCGTCTTGGGGTCATCTTGGGCGTCTTGGACTGGTTGTGCGGCGATTCGGGGCCCTCTTGGGCCGTCTGGGCGAGGTTTTGGGGGTCTCTTCGCCCATGTTGGGCCCCCCTTGGCCCCGAACAAAAACGTGCGACAACACTCGGGGGAGCCCAGGGGGCATGCGGCAAGTCCCAGAAGATTTGGCAATTTCGGGTCTGGGCTTGTTGAATAATCCTCGGTATTGAAGACTGAAGCTTAACGGATGAGGCCAAATATCTGAGGACACCATGGTTCGTGCCTCAAGGGCACGGTGTCGGATATAGTATTTTGTAGACTGGACCAGACACGTTGCACAACACAGATTGCACAATATATTTTGCACCCTGTAGATTGCACTTCGTGTGTAACAGTCCACACACCGCACCACAGACCTTACAGAATTGTTCTGTTCAGAGGAAAGCGGGGCCTGTCGGATGATGGGCGAGATCTACACAGGCCCATGCTTGGTTCACGAAAGACATGGGGAACTTGCTGCTGGTGCCTATTGCGCCGGCGGCGGTCCGCAGGCAGCCGTGCCAGACTTCGTCGGCGCCGACTGTGCCACCAGGCTCGGGCTGAGGGTGTCGCGTCCCCGCGGCACCGCATGCTTGCCGTTCTTTGGCAGGGCGCCGCCTCTGGCGCGGGCTGTTACCGGGGTCGGCTCCCGCAGTTTGTGCAGCAGGGCGCCGCAAGCGGTGCAAAGAGAACGGTTGCCGCAGGCGTGCCGGCGCGCAGGCGTGCACAGCTTGCACAACACATGCCCATGACTTATTATTATTATTATTATTAGTATTATTATTAGTATTATTATTATTATCATTATTATCATCATTATTCGCATTCTTATTATTGTTCTTATTATTTTGTTCTTTCTTACTTTTCTTATCACTATTATTCCCTACCTAGGCTCTGCCTAGAAGGGTTCTTACTGTGTTGGCTTAAAGGGGGCCGGGCAGTGTTGCCTGCCCCAGGCGGTTCCCCCGGCATCCGCCCCGCGGTTCCCCCAGGATCCGCCCCGCGGTTCCCCCAGTAGCTTAGCTTAGCTTAGCTTAGCTTAGCTTAGCTTAGCTTATCTCATCTTAGCTTAGCTTCGCTTAGCTTCGCTTAGCTTCGCTTAGCTTAGCTTTGCCTAGCCTAGCTTAGCTTAGCTTAGATACGCTCAGCCTAGCCTAGCTTAGCTTAGCTTAGCTTAGCATAGCTTAGCTTGCCTTAGCTTAGCTTAGCGCAGCGCAGCATTAGCACAGCATAGCATAGCGCAGCATAACATAGCATAGCATGGCGCAGCATAGCATCGCATAGCTCATCATAGCATAGCATAGCATAGCATAGCGCAGCATAGCATAGCATAGCATAGCATTGCTTAGCATAGCACAGCGCAGCATAGCATAGCATGGCACAGCACAGCATAGCATAGCATAGCATAGCGCAGCATAGCATAGCATAGCATAGCATATCATAGCGCAGCATAGCATATCACAGCATAGCTGCGCGCAGGCAAAGCAACAACAACATCAAGCCAACACAACAACAAAAGCAAAGCAAAAGCAACAGCAACAGCAAAAGCAACAGCAAAGGCAAAGGCAAAAGCAAAGGCAAGAGCAAACGCAAAGGCAATGCAAAGCAAACGCAAAACCAATGCGAAAGTGTAGATTTAGATGTAGATGTAGGTGTAGGTGTAGATGTGGATGTAGGTGTAGATGTAGATGTATATGTAGATGTAGATGTAGGTGTAGATGTAGATTTGAGTCTCGCTGTTGATGTTGATGTAGATGTAGATGCAGGTGTAGATGTAAATGTAGCTGTCGGTGTAGATGTAGATGTTGCTTTCCTAAATGCTCCAACTCCTAGGTAGGGTCGCACTGGGATAATTATTGTTTACTGTCATGTATTACTATTATGATTGTTACCATGTGTCATTATTTTTTATGCTCACAGCTCCACGTGGATGCCGCATTTATTGCATTCCGCCTGTTGCACCACAGGTAGTGCATAGCGAGAATGCGAGGCTTCGCTGTTTGTGGACCACGCTCTCGGACATGTTAGTATTCGCGTCCATCCGTATGTGTACGTATGCATGTCGGTCTGCCTGTCCGTCTGTATGCACGTGTGAATGCATTTATGTATGTACGTATGTATACGTGTATGTATACATGCGTGCATGCATGTATATTTCTATGTATGTTTGTATGTATGCATGCATGCATGTCTGTCTGTCTGTCGGTCTGTATGCATGCATGCACGCACGCATGCATGCATGCATGCATGTATGTATGTACGCATGTATGTATCTAGATGTGTATGTATGTATGCCCATTATGTATACATGCAAACACGCATGAATGCATGCATGCATACAAGTGTCTATATGTATGTATGCATGCATGTAGGTATGCATGTATGCATGTATGTATGTATGTTTGTAGGTATGTCTGTATTTACACGTATATACAATTATGCATGTATGCATGGTTGTATTTGTGCATGCGTGCATGCACGTATCTATACTGACATGTATGTAAGTATGTACGTATATATGTTTACAGGTCGCATTTATGCATTTTGTTTGTTGGTATGTATGTATGTTTGTGTGTATATATGTAAGGTAATGCAATGTACTGTAATGTACTGTCATGTAATGTAATGTAATGTAATATAATGTAGTGTAGTGTAATGCAATGTAATGTAATGTAATGTAATGTAATGCAATGTAATGTAATGTAATGTAATGTAATGTAATGTAATGTATGTATGTGCGTACACCATTCCATGTATATACATATTACGGGACATATATGTGTGAATTTATGTTTATGCAATATGTGTGTAGGCATACACCTTGTACTTTATCAGCGTAGTGGCAAGCACTCACATACTCGCCTTCTACATCATAAACCACCCAGCGGGTTGTCAGGTGGATGCCCCCTTTTCAAAAGCCCTGTTGGATGTTACCTAAGCCGCGAGAGCTTCCCGAATCCAATTCGAGCTCGAGCTCTTTCCTCCCCGTCCTCCTGCATGTCGTCGTCGTCATCGTCGTCGTCGTCGTCGCTGTCGTCCTTCTCCTCTCCCCCGCATCATCCCCCTCCTGAATTCTTTGCTCTCCTCGCTCCCCTCCCCCTCTGCCTCGGCCCACTGGTCAGCGTCGCAGGGACCACCTTCCGTGGAAAGCGCTTCCACTACAAGGGCTCCATCCTGCACAGGTTGATCCCTGGGCTCATGATCCAGGCACGCCGCGTGCAGGAGGGAGGGGATAAGGAAGAAGAGGAGGAGGACGAGGAGGAGGAGGCGGAGGAGGAGGAGGGGGTATGACCTGGCAGCGGTACCTCGCGCGCCACCGCAGCATCCCGTCTGCGGTGGCTCTTGAGGTACAGCCTACAAATTGGTCGAGCGAGCAAAGAGAGGAGCAGGCCAGTCGAGGACCTGGCCACAGTAACTCGGGCAAACAATAGCCGATCTGGCTGCAGGGAACGCGAATGGTCGGAGGTAGTGAAGGATGCGCCTGACCAGCGACGGGTCTGTGAGTGCGGAATCAGCCAGGCTTTACGCGTGAGCCTGCATTAGGCTTCATTCGCGAAACCTGTGTACAGCTGATATGCGTGAAGAAGAGGAGGACACTCGCAAGATAAATCAAATACATGATGATACCATGGCTTCCCATAAAGAGCCGCACTATCCCTTGGAACCGAACACGTCGTACGGACATGAAGCACACTGTGTGTACATATATATATATATACACGTGGGAACGGCACGAGTGCGTCTAATCACGATGCGGTTCGCAGGATTACGCAGTGACATCGCAACACTGCTAACGAGATCATTAGAAAATGTCTGTAGTGATGTCGGTCACCTGCGTATGTTCAGCGCGGAAAATATGCAAGATCGCGATGATACGTAGCATTCCGTCATTGCGACGACTAAGCAGGAGCAGGCTTCGGATAAGGATAACAGTCGCAATGAGTAGAAGCCATCTGTACATGGTACGGGCGCCAAGGATCTTTAACAGAGGCTGGCGGCATGTTGCCCTGATGCTCACAATGGTGTTAATGCGTCTGTACGCACACGTAGACATGTACACGTGCGTATCTGCATACACATCATCCATACATATACTTTTTTGATCCGCGGGTCGAGAGCGCACCTCTTCCGGTCGAAGCTAAGCGGGCCACGCACAGCTTTAATTAGCAGAGGGGGGGCAACAAAAAGGCGGGGCCTCACGTCAAGGCCAAGAGAGGGCAAAGCCCCGGGATCAGGCGGTGCCGAAAGCGAAATGCATGCAAAGGAACGCCTTGGACAGGAGCCCCATCCATACATATACAAACATATAAAGATATGCACGGGTAGGGAGGTATGCTGGTTAATCTGTTGTGCCGCACTGCGGGAGGCCCTACGGGAGACCCTGCGGGAGACCCTACGGGAGACCATAACGGGGAAACGCCTGGGATCATGCCTGCGGCAGACCCCGCACGAGACCCCACGCGGGAGACCCCGGCAGGCCGCCCTGCGGGAGAGCACCCCAGAGACCATGCGCGAGACTCTGCGGCCGACCGCACACGGGAGGCTCTGCGGGAGATGCCGCACGGGGGAGACCACTCGGAGAGAGCAGCACGGGAGAGCAGGCGGGGGGGACCCTGCGGCCGACCACACGGGAAACCATGGCAGAAGGCCACACGGGAGACCACACGGGAGGCAGTGCGGGAGGCCATGCGGGAGATTGTACGGGAGCGCACAGGGGAGACCGTACGAGAGACCACGAAGGAGACCCTACGGGAGCCTGTACGGGAGACCATCCGGGAGACCGCACGGAAGACCATGCGGCAGACCATACTGGAGAGCATACGCGAGAGGATGTGGGAAGATGTGCTCGGGAGACCATATGTGAGATCACACGGAAGACCATAAAAAGAAACCAGGCGGGAGACCGTGCGGGAGACCATACGAGAGACCATGCGGGAGCCTGTAGGGGAGACCTGCGGCCGACCAGACGGAATACCGTATGGGAGACCATACGCGAGATCGGATGGAAGACCACACGGGAGACCACGGGCCATGAGTGTCAGGCATCAGACTTTGAGGGCCCCACGCGTGTTTTGAAGCGCAGCCCAGAACACTAACATGTGGCCCAGAGGTTTTGGATGACGGACCCCAACGGGCGGGGCGGGTCGGGTGGGGGAGCAAGGGCGGTGTGGATGTGTAGGTCAGGCCGTCTGGGAAGAAGGCGGGGGGGTATACTTCCAGTGCTGCTGCGGGAACGCAACGGAGCTCCAGTCAAAAGGCCGCGGGCAAGAGGTGCCAGAGAAGGAGAGGAGGAAAAGGAGCAGCAAATGCATAGAAGGACAGGAGCGGGAGGAGGAGAGGAAGAGGAGGGCGAAAACGAACCCAGGCGAAAACCATCCCGGGCGAAACACCAATCCGGGCGAAAGCCAACCCAGGCGACAGCCAACCCAGGCGAAAGCCAACCCCGGCGAAAGCCAACTTGGGTAAAAGCCAACTCGGGCGAAAGCCAACCCGGGCGAACGCCAACCCGGGCGAAAGCCAACCCGGGCGAAAGCCAACCGGGCGAAAGCAAACTTGGGCGAAACGAACCAGGCGAAAAAACGGGCGAAACGAACCGGGCGAAAAATATCTACGCCGGGGGGAGGGGGAGGAGGAGGAGGAGGAGGAGGAGGAGGAGGAGGAGGAGGAGGAGGCGGAGGAGAGGAGGGGGGAGGAGGAGGGGGAGGAGGACGAGGAGGAGGACGAGGAGGGGGAGTGTGAGTGGTGTGGAAGATGGGGGGAGAGGCGGGGGCGGGGGGGGGTGGCGACAGGAGGGTGGCCAGGGGAACTCCTCTTCTTCCTCCTCCTGCGGATGCCCCCCGCGGCTGCCTCCTGCCAGGGCGGGGACTTCGAGAACGCCAACGGCACGGGCGGCGAGAGCATCTACTCCCGCCGCTTTGCGGACGAGACCTTCGCCGACAGGCCTTCCCCAGTCCGCCGCGCGCCGGCCGGGTCGGCTTTCTTGCGTGGCCTGCCCCCTTCGCCCCTCCCTGCGCCCTCCTTCCCCCATCCTCCCGGTCCTCCCCTCCTCCTCCTCCTCCTCCTCCTCCTCCTCCTCCTCCTCCTCCTCCTCCTCCTCCTCCGCCCGCCTCTCGCGCGAGAAGGGATTGATTCCGCGCGCCCTGGGAGGAACCGAGCTCCAGTGCACCCCCCTTCGGCCCTTCAGGTGGAGAGGGAGGAAGGAAGGGGACGGGGGCGGGAGGCGGTCCAGGCATCCGACGTCGTAGACAGAGTGGGCGTCGTGAGACAATCAAGGAGGAGGAGGAACCATAGGTGTATGAGGATGAGACTGACGAGGAGAACGAGGCGGACGAGGGCGACGCTGCTGCTGCTGATGCTGATGCTGATATTGATGATGACGATGACGATGACGATGACGATGACGATGATGACGATGACGATGATGATGATGATGATGATGATGATGATGATGATGATGATGATGATGATGATGATGATGTTGATGATGATGATGATGATGACAATTATGATGATGATGATGACGATGATGATATTGATGATGACGATGATGATGCTGATGATGATGATGATGTTGATTGCGATGCTGCTGACGATTATGACGATGACGATGCTGATGACGAGGACGGTGACGATGATGATGATGAAGATGGCAATGACGA